GCCACTGAAATCTAGTGGATTTTCAGTGGCTAGCACACTGTTTTGAGCCTCCAAATCAGAGGGGGGTGACCCGCTCTCTCCTTGACTTGTTTGGTGGTCATTTTGGCCTTCCAAAAAGACCCTATCTTGCATGCTTTGAAGCTACTTTCCAGGGTCAATTTAGTAAGTTTTAGGACTATCATATTTGATTTTCATGGTTGTTTATGCCATGCTAAATGTCTATCTTGCATGTGCTTAATAACTCCTCGCATGGCCCTCTAAAGTAACTCATCATTTTTGCATGTGTTGGCTTCATTTCAGTGGTTATTTAGGCCTATTTTCACATGTTTTGTTCACTGATTTTTGCTGGTTTGGTGAGATTCCATATGCTTCACACACTTGCCATGTAAACCATGTTTGCTAGTCAAAGTTGCATGCTACTTTAGTCCATCTTGCTAGCACTTTTTGGCCATGCTTTGAACTAGAAATCTTCATGTTTTGGGACTGCTTTGGCTCTGTCTTTATACTTCATGATCAAATAATGCATGCTTTGTATAGCTATAAGTCATTGCAGGTGCTTAGTCTTGAGTTTCGGGTTTCATCTCATGCATCGGGTGCCTTTTTTCCATGTTTCGGGGCTGTTTAGCATCATATTTTAGTGCTAGAATTTGTGAGTTTGCATGCCATCTTGCATCCCTTGCCATGCCTTGTTAGAGTTACATGTTATGCCTTAGGTTCGGTCCTCGGTTTGCGTGCATACGTGCACGCATTTCGAGAGTCTCATTTTCACCTAATGGCTACTGATGTGAGTGTGGCTGAGGTCCACTCATGTTGGTGTAAGTCCATCATGCATTGTGTATGCCGTTTCATTTCATAGCATTGTGTATGCTAGGTTGTATGTTAGAGCATTGTGTATGCCTCGTTACATCGTGCATTGTGTATGCCATTTCATAGCATTGCGTAGGCTAGGTTGTATGTTAAGATTGCATTCATGCATGTCATGCATATTGCATTGTGTTTGGGATAGGAGTTAGCCTGAGCACGGGAAACGAGGGACGTTTCGTACTCCGAGTGACGGAATGTGCCTCAATTCCCTGTCGCCGACACTCTGGATTACCCATGATGGAGTTTAGGTCTTGTTGTCTTTTCATGTGCATTCATTTCATATTGAGTCGTGCAATTCGACTCCTCGGCCATCATGCATCGAGATGCGTGATTGGTGGCACGACGATCGAGGACTACACTCCCTGAAGAGTAGTCGTGCATACATATGTGAAAATACTTTGCCATGCCCCTTTGTTGCTCTCTGTTACAACAAATCAGAAATCGGCAGCCTTCCGGAGCTTGGCACGCATCCCAAGAACAATTGCAAACAGAGGCAAATCGGGGCATCGCAAGGGATTTTCAGCACAAGGCAACCCGAGCATGCATCATTCATCATTTGAAACAGAGCTGAGGCGGTCCATGAATTTGCGTGCCAATTTACTGCTTTCCTAGATTAATTTGTTAATTAATTAGGATTCTGTATCTATTCGGGACTGTATTATTTATTCATTTGGGACTGTATTATTTATTCGGACCCTCTGCGCGAGGGCAATGTTGTAATAAGTGTGCGTGTGTGTGATGTATGTCTTCCAACCTCACGTCTTTCTCCTTTTTAGTTATCAACTTATGATGGTTAGATTAGGGCATGTTTCAATTAGCATACAGTATGATAGCATGTTTGCATTCATTCATCTGTCTTGTATACACTGGGCTCGGCGTATCATACTAATTGCATTGTATTTCAATTCCGAGTTGAATACTTATTAGTTGTAGCATTTCGCATGCCATCTTTAGAATAGTCGAGCCTATCTTAGTTGCATTTTGCATGTGTTGCATTAGGCATTTCTGTATAATTAGGATCATGCATGGGTTTCTAATCAGCTTCTGTTTTGGCTTGGAGTACTCGGTAAGTACTTATGCTTTAGCATCCTTGCATGCGTGTGAGTGACTGCCATGATAGCATGCTTGCCATAAGGGTAACTACTTATGTGATATAACTGCCTGAATGCTTGTGGGTGAAGGTTGGGTTATTTGAATTGGAACAATTCATTAATTGAGTTTTAAAGCCCACTAGATAGTGGCAAAATCATGTTTTCTTAAGTCCACCCGAGGGTGGCAAATCCACGTCTTAGCCTATCTGCGGGTAGCACCATCAAACCATTTTCAAATAAACAAACATGGAATATTTTGTTCCAATTCAGGCGACCCAGTCTATACTTGTATGCTGTGCGCATCACATAGTAAATCTAGGCTAATAACCGGAATAAGAATGCATAATGTTTTCAAAAATAGATATCATGGTTAGTAGAGGCCGATCTTTGATCGGGCGAGCGGGGGTGCTCACGAAGTGACCTTCCTCAATCATACCCAAGTTCCCGAGCCGAGGCAACTTTGGTGATGACGGATACGTAGCCTTAGGCACGAGTCAGGGTTTCCTAAATTCCCCAAAATAAAATATTTAGGTGGCGACTCTGTATCTGGCAAAGCAGTCCATGTTTGGCACTTCTTTAAAAAAAAATCTGTTTTCTCAAAATGATTTGCCAGATTTGGACTCTTTGGTTCAGATTGAGAACCGTGACAATTTGAGTTCGAACTGTAGTGAGCCCAAAATGAACAGAACGGGACCCATCCTCCCGGGGCGTTTGGGGACGTCTACAACTGCGCTCGAGCGGGCTTGTTGGAGCTCGAGTGGGTAGTACATTTTTGGTGTGAGTTCTAGAAGGGGGAAATCTACGCTCGAGCGGACCGGTTTTTGCGTTCGAGCGGATGTACTTTATTCTTGTGTCTTGGCGCTTGAGCGGGCCTTCTTGCGCTAGAGCGTGTCTAGGATTTTGTGCGTGACGCTCGGGCGTCCTGTTCTCCGCTCGAGCGGGAATGTCGTATATCGGAAGGCAGTTAGGCATTTTTGAATCATTTTTTACATTCACTCTCTTTCTCTTACTTTCTCAAAACCGATTTTGAGAACCTCTCTCTCTAGAGACTCCCTTCTCTCTAGGGTTTGATTTAGTTAGAGTGCTTCCCTTTCCTTTGGCCTTTGTAAAAGTTGTGTTGATCGTCGAGGGCTTCGTTTTGATCCGTGGATCTTGGAGTTTGGAGCATTTTGATTTTCTTCATCTCCTTCCCTTGGGCTTCAAATTTGAGGTAGGGATTCCTACTCACTTTTATGGGTTTTGACCTAGATATTGAGTTTTTGTATAAATGGTTTTGGGTTTTGGAAACTAGGGTTTCAAATGTTTAATTTTGAAAAGAGGGTTTGTTTATTTTGGACCTTAAATACGTATTTGGGTTTCAAAATGAGTATATTGATGTTGTTGGTAATATATGGACTCTTGGAGTCAATATTGGGAATCAAGGGGAAAATGCCATGTTTGGGTATTTTTGGGTCACTAGTGTAATTAATGACAAGTGTTGAGAAAATATGAAATTGAGTTGAATATAATGAAATTGGCTCATTATGAGATGGATTAGTGAAGTTGGATTTATTAATTGCTCACTTTTGTAAATATGGATAAATTATCTATTAACGCATTTATTATCTGTTTAGAAATAATTGCCTTGGGCTACCGGTGAAGGGTAATCGTGATTGTTATAGACAATGCATGATAATTAGGCAAACTAGAACTAATCAATGGAATGTGTCATCGTATATGACAGTTGAAAGAATACATTAACTTTATGTATTGTTTGATGATGTATATGATAATTATTTATATGCATTGTGTTGTGTGGGAGGAGATAGGGGATGTACTCCACGGTTTAGGGGAAGATAGAGAATGGACCTCTAAACTGGTTAACGTTTGGGAGAAGATAGGGGATGGGCTCCGGTGATACAACTCATATGCTTATCCGTTAAAGTGGTGATACAGCTCATATGCTTATCTATGTAAGTGTTGATATAGCTCATATGCTTATCTACGGAAGTGTTGATATAACTCATATGCTTATCTGTTGAGGTGTTGATATGGCTTGTATGCTTATCTATTACGAAATGGGAAACATTTAATATGAACTATTATTTCGTTTAGAGTGTGTGGCCAGGTTCTGAGCCACAGGTATGAATTTGGAAATTGGATAAGAAATGGAAAATGAAATGAAACATAGACATAGTGGTTATGTAATGGAAATGGTTTATGAATTGATTTATGGGAGTTAAACATTTATCAATTGCTAATGTCTTAGTTACTGCTCATATTGTGTTTAGCATATCTCTACTGGGCGTTGGCTCACTCTATATGGGACATTATTTTCAGGTACAGGTAGCATGCCACATCCAAGGACATAGCTTCGATGGTTGTGGGAGTTGAAGGCTCTTTTTGATTATTTTGTTTGTATTACATGTATATCAAGCCAAGGGCTTGTTTTGTATAGAGTTAGTACTCTTCTTTTGTGTAACCAAGTGTTGTCTTAGAAAGCTGTAAGCCCGTAAGACATTTGCTTTTATTGTTAACATGTAATACTATTGTAAGAACTACTTTGATGAATGGAAAGACGTTGATTTTCTTATATTACTGCATGTCTGAATGATGGGTATTATGTATTTTTTTGAGGGCGTTACAGAATTTAGTCTCGCTGAATTTATATATGCCGGTCGTTTGGTGTGTCATTCAAATAGTCGTCTGATCAATCATTTAAGAGGATGCTGGTTATTCAAACAGATATTGGTTAACAAATCAAATGGTAAGAGTGATAGTTGCAATTGATAAGGGTAAAGTCGATCGTTTGACATAATTAAAGCGATTCGAGTATACTTATATTTTGTGTATCAATCATTTTTTATTACAAAATAACCATCAATTTTATATTCTTTTCATTTTGTTAAAAATAATCTTTAAAAATTCTAAAACAATCCTAAAAAGTGATTTAGAGAATTATTTTCTAAAAAATATTTTTCAGTTTCATTTTTCTATATTTTACAAAAAATAAAAAATCAAAAAATCAAAAATACAAAAAAATACAAAACACACCAGTCACCACCATCAGCATCTTTAACCAATCTTTCTGCACCAGAAAACCCCCCAAAACCCTCTCCTCAAGCACCCCCCAAATTTTGATCAATCAAGCAACAATCAACGTATATATTTATATCTATATCTGTATATATAATTCAGGCATGGCGTCAACGAAGAAACCGCCAGAAACTGAGCTACCACCGCCGGCGATCTTAGTCCCGCCGGCGTCCCCTAGGTTTCCGTCAGGAACACTGACACCCGGAGCTCACCGGAGGATCGCGATAGCGGTGGATTTGAGCGATGAGAGTGCCTACTCCGTGAAATGGGCGGTCCAAAACTACCTCCGCCGCGGCGACGCCGTGATCCTCCTCCACGTCCGCCCCACCTCCGTCCTCTACGGCGCGGATTGGGGCGCCATCGATCAATCCTTGGTGGACACAGACGAAGAGTCTCAGCAAAGGCTGGAGAACGATTTCGATGCGTTCACGGCTACAAAAGCGAACGATTTGGCTCAGCCTTTGGTGGAGGCTCAGATTCCATTCAAGATCCATATAGTGAAAGATCATGATATGAAGGAGAGGCTGTGTTTGGAGGTTGAGAGGTTAGGGTTGAGTGCGGTGATTATGGGGAGCCGAGGGTTTGGGGCTTCGAGAAGGAACACGAAGAGTAGTCGGCTTGGAAGTGTGAGTGATTACTGTGTTCATCATTGTGTTTGTCCTGTAGTTGTTGTTAGGTTTCCTGATGATAAAGACGGCGGCGATGGCGTGAAAGCTGCGGTGAATGGCGGTGAGGGGCTGCACACGGTGCAGGAGGAGGAGGCGGAGTATCATGATGCATCTGATAAGCAAACAGGTATATAATTTGTGGGAAACTCTCTCCTTTTATTTTATTATTATTATTTTTTAAATTGGTTTAGTATTGATCACTAGAAATTTCGCAAATCTGTGTTGATCATAGAATTTCTTACTGATTTGATTAGTTCATGTTGTTTTAGAAAGTTGCGACTTTGTGTTGATGCGAAGAAATGTGGGTCTTGCACTGATTTCTTTTTTACTTGCTGATTTAATTAGTTCATGTTGGTTTTAGACAGTTTGTGACTTTGTGTCGATAAGAACTTAAGAAGAAATGTGGGTCTTCGATTGGCTTCTTTTTACTTACTGATTTACTTAGATAATGTTGTTTTATTTGAATTGGTAGAATTTTGATCAACTAAGCTGAAATTGAACATGTTTTTGTAGTTGATTTACCCTGATTCAGGACCTTCTGGGAATGGCTTTATACACCTGTCATGTTTTGCATTTCTTTTAACACCAAATCCAGAGGATTTTTTTTGTTTTGTTGTTAATGGGTTATATTATATCTGTGAGACTGCAGCTTTTATGCCATAATGTTCTCATAAAACTGTCAGAATTTATTTCTCTGTTCTTCTGCTCTAATTGGTGTTTGTGTGCTGCAATCAATATTTACATTTGCTATTGAAATTCTGATTTTATGTTTTCCATCTGCAGTTCAATAAAGTTTTTTTTAGCTTATTACAAGTTGCTTTGTTTAGAATTGTGTGGATGAGACATGTGTTTCTTTATTTATGTATGAATTACTCAATGTAGTTGTTTCAGCTTGGTTTCCGAGTTTGGGAGGTGGATCTTTGTATTTTTAGATTGGAACTTTTGGTGATGATGGGGATATTGGTGGCATGACACATTGGGTTGTTTTGTATAAATTGTCCTTTGTTTCATTGCTTGGCGGTTATGGCTATCTTCCCTAGTAACACATCTTTCGAATCCAGGGTGTCATCTGTGGTATACTTTTCATTTGGATTGTATTTCTAAATATGATCTTACAATATAACCTGATTTTGATGTTTTGGTTATCTCCAGCTATTATGCTCCTAAAAAGACTGATTTGGGAATTGGGGACCATCTTTTGGTTTGTATTCTTTTGGCTCTGGATAAGTACACTAAAGTTTGATCAATTTAATAGTTTGTCATGACTCAAGCTGTCTCATTGAGATACTCAACATAAAATTGACTCAACCTAAAAATTTGCTTTCTATTTCCTTGTCCATAACAGTTCTTATGGGACCTTAACTTTAACAGAAACCATATTTATGCAATTTTATGGAGGTTGTTGACTAAAAATGGCCCAACGAACAACACACAGCTTTGTTGTGTCCTAAGTTGGCTTTTGCGCAAATGCATTTGTTTAGGCTGTCAATTTTGTGTATTTTCTGTTTTAGGAAAGTTTTCACTTATCAATTACAGATTTCCTGATTTATATGCTGCTGTTTGTTATGGTAAGTTTCTACTCCTTTCTGGTATCTAAATTTGAGCTGAACTCAAACTTGCTATCTTTGGTAATTGCATATTTTTCTTTATTAATTTCATGTTTTACTAGGAATTAAATTTGATTACATAACTTCCTAGTGGTGCAAGTCATCTTGTACAGTAGATAGACCTACCATGTTACACCTTCTTGGTGCTTTTAGCAGATTGCCTACCCTATGAAAAGCAAAAACTACAATGTTGGATTAGATCTATAAACATAATTTTCTAGAAGATTGAAGACATCATTAAACAACATATGTGAATATTTTTGTTTTATTTACTTGTTATTATCATTATTTTTGGCATCTATCGTTGTGATCCATGGTTCAAGAAATTGGCCAGTACATACCAGTTTGTGGGCCCTCCAATTTGGATACACCCCGGTTTACTGTTGGGATAAAAAATTGCAAGTGAATCAGCTGATTCGCAATACGTATCACTGTGAATTGGAATTTGATAGCGGATCATAGCCAAATCTGCCCAGTTCGTTTGACCTCTCCCCTACCATAAAATGTTGGGCTTAAATAGCACCGCTTTTCCACCAGCATGTTAGGTAAAAGACTTTTGCGTATGATGTTAGGGTATCTGATTGTAAGGGGTTGCCTTGTTAAGTAATGGCTCATTTTCTTTTGATCCATTCAATCTTTTTTTCCATTATTAGTTTTTGACTTTCTAACTTGAACTCTATTTCCCTAGTGAAGCAAATCGAATCCCAAGGAATGACATTTTTTGGGTTATTATTATTATTTTCCTTTTTGGAACTTTTGGTTGTACTTTCTTTTTTTGATCAGCGACATTGTACTTTACTTTATTTAGCGAAGTTCTGTCATTTAAAAATCCTTTTGTTCTCTTCTTGGGTGGGAATGTATTTAACGCTAAAGTGGTGAACTCATGCTAAACCACTCTCTGAAGTCACTAATGTAATAAAAGCCAATTGTCATAATGGTGTGATTTTCCTTTGAAATTTTTTGTGGCCTTTGTCATACATAGTAAGGACATGATTTTGTACAGCGGATGCTTTATTGATCTTGAAGATTATATATAAAAGGAAAATTTCAGGCTGGTTTATTGAGCATATAGAGGAAATGAAGCTGTGATTCCTTTACAATTTTCCTTTCTATAAGATTCTTATCAATGGAGAATGTATGGTGGTTCATTTCATTTAGAACAAGTATGTATGCCACCATGTATTGTTGAGTCTGTAAAAGTTGGGTTCCATGGAGCATATTTTTGCTACTATTTGTTTGTAACCTTGGGGTCAGATGTTTAATAATATGTCAAATTTGGTGGTTCGCTCACTCACACAGCATTCATTGTAATTTTATTGATCAACTTTTTGCAGGCCTTCCCCTCTACGGTCTTCACAATTTTTTTTGGTTATTTAAGAAAAATACTGGTCCCCTATGACAGAATAATATTAATGACACTTATGCACATGCCTTCCACAACAAAACTCCCATCAATCACCATGAAGATTTTTTTATGATTCATTGGGTTGGTTGAGTGAGCTCTTGTGGCTGCCCTTTGTAATCATAACATGCCCCTAGTAATCAAAACATTAGCCTGTAGCCACTATCACCGAGTTAGGCACATGTAGGGCTGTTAGGAATCACTGGATGATCCCCACCTATCGGATTGTTCATTGCTATGCTCTTAATCAGACGATTTGTGGGCCATCTGGTCCAATATTGATGGGTGCATTGGAAATATCCCACTTTTCTGAAGTTAGAGAATACAGCAGAAATATTTCTGCACGTGAAAGGATTGTTATTTTTGGCTCGTTCATATCTTATGTCAGACCGATTTTGCACTTATTCGCTTTATAAATTTTCATATGATGTTTTGACCTAATTTACCATGTGGTTCCAGTTCCACACTTACCCTCAACCCTTCCAACCTCACAAAATAATTTAAAAAAGTGAAAATAGAAAAGAAAAATTAGATGGCTTGATACTCTTATATTCTACCTGTTTATTTCACCTTTCACTGGTTTGTGTGACGATTGAATCAAAATTTTTGTGTTGTAGATCTGGAGAAAGCTTCTTGAGAAAATAGAAGATGAGAAGCTGTGAAGCTGAGGTGTCTGGAGTGTGATATACCGAGCTGATCTTCAAGGACTTTTCGTTTTGCATATGCATAGTCAGCTGTGTTGAAAGCCAAGTAGTTTGGAATGGTTGATATTGCTGTATCAGTTTTCTCTTGTTGGTTTTAGGTCTTTAAAATAGGTTGCACTCTGCTTTTGTGTGGCTTAAATTATTGTCTAGAATTCGCTTTGCACCTACCAAACACGATTGAGAAGGTTCTTGATTGGCTAGGGTTTGGAGGAATGTGGTTGAAGGGTTGAGAAAAGGAACTTGTCCTTTTATTAAATTTAAGCAGTGGTATCCGATTGTGCTTTATGATGATTTGGAAACTATTGTTGGTTGTTTGTCTTTGACATGTTCGTTATATGTTCAAATAAGGTTTACATTTTGTATCCGTGCGATCCCTCATTTTTCGAAATTGTTAAAATTTATACCATGAAACCCATGTTTCATAGATATAGAGTTGTGAGCTGTATAACTAGTTAATCTTTTTTTTAAAACCTAGAGGGGTGAATTTCTATAATTTGAAAATAATAAAAAATTAATGTTAGTATATAAAGGCATTTTTTAAAATTGTAAGGGGGGCTGATCACCCTTCTCTCGTTGTTCCCCTCTCCTATTTCATAGTTGGCCTCGACCACCTAGCCTATGAAGAAGAAGAGTGAGCTGGAGGATGACAAGGGTCACAAGCCTAAAAAAAATATTCTCTCCTATTGGATATAATAAAAATTTTAGAATTTGTGTGAATGAAAAGATATATAAGACAATATCACAAATTAGATAATTGGTGAGGAAAATTAATGTAACCAAGAGTGGTCCTTTGTAAATCAAATCAGTCATGTCTCGCCAAACAAGTCCCAGAACCGTTGAGGCTTGCGTGTGTGAATAAATTTAGAAGAAAAAATATTCTTGTTCACATATTAGGTAATTGGTGAGAGGAAGATTAAAATTTTAATTATCAATGTGTCTGTTTGTATTTGTGTTTTTTAGTCGGCAAGTTGTAACTATAAATGATTATGAAATATTTAATATAATAATGATATCAATAGTGGAGACTTTTCTCTTTAGATGAGAATTCTCCTTATTCTACGACACAATTACTCTTTTGGCAGAATAAGTTTCAAGGATTATGATCAAGATGCCGTCTATAACGTCATAGATGACATTAAATACTCAACAGTCCCTACCGAACTAATGAAAAATTTAGTAGGTTGCCAGAGAGATTTCCATGTATTTGTTAAATTCTAATAAGATCTTACTATTAGAGGTGGAATTCCTTATATTATATTAACTAATGGGGACAGTAGTTGGTTAGATGCAATGTCCCAAAAAATGAGAGAATGGTTTGATATTAATGTAACCACTATCATGATTAATGAAAATTTTTATTAATTTTATTTATAAAACCACTCAAATTTTTATTTACTTACTACATTTCCCTTATCATCAAAGTCTCATCACTATTTTTTTATACTCATTATTACATTTCGTAAAACATCAGAAAATTCTGCGGGATCCATAACAACTGATCCTCTTCGATCAACTTCTTCTTTTCTAATACCAACCTCCGAAATCGATAGACCAGGATCAACATCACTAGTTCCATCACCACCTCTGTATATATCAATCTCAGACAAACTCAGATGACCTCTGCATTCATGAATAACTAAACCACTTTCTGCAAAACCTCCTAACAACAAATCTCGTCGCCTCTCCAGTAAACCCATAGACATAGTTCGGGTCATAAATGGAATGGCCTTGGTTAGAGCACAATGCCAAACATCAACATTATCATTAGTATATTTTTTAGATAACACAACAATAGATGAGACCCTCATCTGTGAATCTTCTGGCATGTTACTCATAGAATACTTCAAATACCCTTTCATTTTACAGTACGTAATCTCCCTTTTAATATTCGAATTTTCAAGTCAATACTTCACCATTCATGGCACTTGTTTGTCATTAGTTGAACAATAACCATTCTTATAATGAACTAACTCGTATTGACAATCCATAGGGAAAATAAAATACGCCTGCAGACTGTCATTACCATCTAATCTCCTATCATACACATTTACTCTGACCAACCCGCTAGCATTAGGTGCGCAAAGGGGGGAATATTTTATCAACCTTAATACTATTTTGTTTGTATCTCAACCTCAACTGAGAAAATAAATTAGGCAAAGCAAGTTTAATACAACTGAAATCACTTGCTGAAACACCTTCAACAACACTAGTTTTTATATTGTCTACCTCCATTCACCTGAACATTACAAATAAAAATACATAAAATTAAAATTCTAAATAGTTTTAAAGTACATTTGACACTTTAACGTAATTTTGGATTCTTTTCCACTAATAGTAGCAGCCACTAAATATATGGCACCTTCTAAATACTTCTAACATTTTCCAATAGTGTATCTTTATAGTCCGTCCAAACATCAATTGGAAAGAACCGGTCCACAACTTCTGTTCCGTAACGAATGTACTTTTTATCCTTGCCACCAACGAGCATGAATCTCATTTTTTTTAGCATCCGAAACCTGTCGGACTGGTTAGGATCAACAATCCAAGTCTCAGGATTATCCTCGCCAACTCCGATAAATATCTTGTCAGGTGTGGGGACGGAATCTGACGGACCATTATCACTTATGATGAAAAACAATACGCGGTAGACCACAACTTCGTTTTTAGTATCTTGTCCTAATTGAACATTCATAATTAATTTTATACCCTTAATCGCGATCTTGTCTGATTGACGATCACATCTTTTATTACCTAACTCAATATCATTAAGCAATCTCGCCACATCTTTATTATCAAATTTAACGTCCTTTAATTGTTCATCGTACAATTGCAACTTCCTTACTCCCCTCTTAGTCTTCTTAATATGTCGGGGAATATTCTGAACGTACTGTCTACGTACATACGCCGCCTTAAAAGGTGCACGACCACCATAACTACGCTTATATCCACTGGCCGCCGATGTCCTTGACCTCTAGTATGCAAGGGAAGCTTGATACTAGCTGCTTACTACTCCTTCCACTTTTGATAAAACACTCCAAATCTTTTATCCTACTAGTTCTGCAGTTTCTCTTACCTCTGCTAATCTTTCTGTTTAGACACCTTAGCTTTGATATTTTTTCCTTCTGCTCCTCGTACACTGGAACAAACTTCGCCAGAGCTAATCGACGGCTCTTTTCCAAAAGTCCTATTTGTCACATCAAAAAATGATATACACACATTTGAGTGAACTGTCCGTAATTCTCGAGATACTCTTCTAAGGAGTACAACATTGTATGCCAATACAATTAACAAAAAAGAAAGACAGAAAATGAGGAACGAAACAAGGTACCAAAAAATAACGTCACCATAATTGTTATTCCACTGCAAAAGCATATTCTTCTCTCCTATCAAATGTTTTCTGGTACAAAATAAATAGCAAAACTGGCCCACGTGTAAGGACGAAGATTCCCCATTTAAAATAATTTGAAAGCATAATTATTTTCCTGTATTTGCTTTAGGTCAATCATTCTGAAAATATCTTTACTTTACAACCACACAAATCATCAGAAACGCGACACGTGTATTGCATTATCCGGTAAAGGAATCAAAAGTACTCATACCTGGGCCCGGGTGTGACTTCCTTTTAACTCCATCCATACACGTGTCCACAAGTACAACAATGAACGACCCAGATCAGTGCAGGATGGGGGGCACTGGTAATATTAATATAGCGCCCCCCAGTCACACCACTCACACTATTCACACTGGGTTTTTTAACTAATAAGAAGGCTTTGTACGGCTAGTGTAAGTTCACTATTTATCACTACAAAATACCTCGCCAAGCCTCTTTCCATTTGTACGTGTGGCTCACCTTTTTCGCACCCCTTTTCAGGAGGTTTGAAAAAAAAGGCCTCATAGTTCGGACTTCCGAGGTTCTGAATCTAATCTCACAAGTGCAATGCGAAACTGATAAACACCAAAAAGTCCAAATCCAACAAATCGTTTTGGAAAACTGATTTTGAATGAAAATGTCAAAATTGGATTACTTTGCCAGATACAGAGTCGCCACCTAAATATTTTATTTTTGAAAAAATTTAGGAAACCCATGACTCGTGCTAAAGGCCATGTGTCGGTCATCACCAAAGTTGCCTCGGCTTGGAAACTTAGGTACGAGAGGGGAAGGTCATGAATTGAGCACACCCACTCGCCCGATCAAAGATCGGCCTCTACTAACCATGATATGATTTTTTATAAATATTATGTGCTCTTGTTCCGGTTTATTAAACTAGCTTTACTATGTGATGTGCACAAGCAAGTATAGACTAGTTTGCTTAGTTTGGAACAATTCAATTCATGTTTGTTTACAAAAATGGTTTGAATTTGCCACCTCAAGTGAGCTTAAAGATGCGAATTTGCCACCAAACATAGTGGGCTTAAAACATGATTTGCCACTCAACAAAGTGGGCTTAAAACGCACAATCTTTGAATCGTTCCAATTCAAACAACAAGCCTTCATCCATAGGCATTCATTCAGTTTAGCATTTAAGCACATAGTCTTACGGCAAACATGCTTATCTTGGCAACATTCACACTTATGCAAGTATGCTAAAGCGTAAAACTCATCTAGTAGTCCAAGCTAGGAAAACATGAGTTAGAAAAATATGCATGATTCCTAACTATGTTGACACATATTCAAGGAAGATATTGAAATGACGACGCAGTTTGAATGATGCATCGAGCCTCGGTGCATGCTTTGCGAATGAATGGATGCAAGCATAAGGTATGCTAATTAAAATATGATGTCCCTAATCTAACCATTAAAAGCGATTAAATAAAAGGGAGAAAGACGTGGGGTTGGAAAATATACACACATGCACGCACACTTATTACAACATTACGCCCTCGCGAAGGAGGGTCCGAATGAATAAGAGCTAACTAACTACGCTAATTAAGCTAACTAATTATTACAAAATTCAAAACTAATTAACTATTCTAGTTAACTAATTATTACAAACCGAAATCGAATAATTAGTTAAACTAACTAATTATTTACAACTAATTAATTACAACATGTATTTAAGCTAGATATTTAAACGTTAAATAAGCTTGAAATGCAAGGGAGGCTCATGCACGTGCTCAGTTTCCACCCGAAAAGCCACTGTTTTGTTGCTGCAAGCTTCTATTTGCACATTTGATCACTAAAAATTCTGCCTACTTCTAGAAGACCTCTGCTCCATCTTACCAACACACTGTGCAAATTTCATTGGTGGCCGACAGGGCTGGTCGGCTACTGGTGGTAGCCGGTTGGCCACTGCTGACATGGACTCCCTTGTTGCAACAGAGAGTAAACAGAGCAAAGCAATGTATTTCTCAAGGGTTATTT